TGCAAGCCTAAATGGTGATCAATCATTCAAACTAGCATATTAACTTATAAGCATAATAAATAAGAACATGAACCATAATTGAAACTTGGAAACTAATCAAACTTGAAAAACTAAAGAAAAAAATTTACATAATGAAAAGTAAAGTGGAACTAAGAAAAACTTAAGGAAAATTTCAACACAAAAGATTTCATTACAACAATTGAAAACTAGAAAATGAAACTAAGAGAACTTGAGGAAGAGAAGGGAAGGGAGCTCTAGAGAAGTGTTTGAGAGCACCCCCCCTTGGGGTGTGTTTACAAGCTTAGAGAACATCCCTATTTATAGGCCTAGAGGAAGTGAAAATCTGAATTCAATATGGCTAATGCATACAACACTTATTTTATAAAATCTGAAATGGTTGATGCACTTCACCAATAGATCCCACCAACAGCCCTAGCTCATCTTCATGTCACCATGACCAAGCTTCCAACAAGCTCAATAGCTCATGCCTAGCTCACCATGACCAAGCTTCCAACCAGAAACAATAGCTCATCCTGAGGTCAGCATGACAAGAAACTTCAAGGGCTTACGAATTGGGCTTCCCTTAAGCAAATTAAGACTTTAAGCACTCAAACTTGAAGTTCAGAATGTCGTCTTTCCAGCCATATATCATTTGGGCCAATCCAAGATCGGAGGAGGAAGTTCAGGCCAAAACAAATTGCTAACTCATTTTGCGCGCTGAAAAAATCCATCCTGAGCATGGCTCTGTGTTTGCTAGGTAACAGACTCCACAATTATCCAATGGGGCTGAATTTCGAATGTGTTATAGTATACACCCATTGGAACAACCTTCATGAAGAATGTGGCCTCATCCGAGCTATGTAGGTTGCTGAAACAAAGCTTGCAATAAGACCTACGGAACTGGACTGGCAGGGGGCTGTAGCCAAAATGAGTTTGGCTTTTAAGCTCTTCATCCCTTTATCCAAATCAGGCTTTAACATACATGGATTACATCATTTCATATCCAAAGCCATCATGTTGCCTAAAGCTGAAAGATAAACACAAAAAGGATTAAAAGCACAAGTTTAACTAACCACCGCTCAGTGAGTAGATTATGTAATATGCCAGTCAAGCAATGCTGTTTTACACACTCTAGAAAATATAATGAAAAGATACACCAATCCAGATCATATCACATCATCCCTTCATATCTTGGTTATCC